GCAGAAGCTGAAACGCTTCGCCATGGCCAATCTACTGGTCATCCTGACGGTGTCCGCGGTCATCGTCGGCGTGTTCATCGGGCTCGGCGTGCGAAGCGCCGGGTTGAGCCGCACGCAGATCCTTTACTTCGGATTCCCCGGTGAGCTCCTCATCCGCCTGCTCAAGATGATCATCATTCCTCTGGTGGTCTGCAGTCTGGTGTCAGGGGCTGCCAGCCTTGACCCCAAAGCCCTGGGCAAGCTGGGCGGCTGGGCGATGCTCTTCTTTCTGGTGACCACTCTGATCGCGTCTGCCATCGGCGTTATTATGGCGTTCATCATTCAGCCTGGCTCCAGCGACGGCCAAAAAATATCCAACCTCAACCAGGATGACACGGAGATTCCTGAAGCCAAAGAAGTCATCGATTCGTTTTTAGACTTGATAAGGTGAGTCCCCAAAGTTCACCAGTGAACACGTGTTGGAACATTTGGCGCGTTGGGATTCGAAATTAGAGCTCTAGGGTTCCAAAAACGTTTATATGATTAGGTTTATGATAAACTTCTAAATTATAACGTTTAACTGTATGGTTACTGTGTGGCATTGTCAATATCGATGTGAATTTCGTGAACTAAGTCGGCTTTTTTCAATGATTTGGTTAAACCGGTGCACAAAACACGATTCTAGAAATGAACAGCAGAAATTATCGAATTAAAACGGTAATGTACGGGCATTTTACTAACACAAAATGTGAAATGAAACTATTTTTAAAAAGCATTTTTAAAGTACCCATGCAAAAACGGAGAGGTTTGTATTAGGCCTATGTATTCCTTAATTCTTTAAAATTATTTAATACAGCTGAGCTGGACAGACAAAATTAGCTACAGTAAGTTAAGCACAATTATAATTCTCAGGCGTAAAAATGAAATGTATAGCAACATGTAGCTAAAGCTTGCGTGACGTTGATCTACATGTGCTGTAAGCGGACGCTTCAGTTGCATCAGCTGCGCGTCTCGTGCTCGACGCGGTGATCCGCTCTCAGAGGACGCAGCTTTATGGTCAGTTTTAAAGATGTGACATCTACCCTTCCCTTTTTCCGGGTGTGTGCTTTCCTTTACTCGAGAGAGCAAATGCCGAATGAAAGTTTTTAGCGGTATGAACCGGACTGTGGCGCTTAATAGAATAAAATAAGTAGAAATTGTGAAGAAAATAATCATTTATTCTTTCAGCGGAGGCAGACATTCCTTGCATTCCATAAGGAAACCTAAATCATACAGTTTATGGGTGAGTTTTAGGGTTTGGTCCTGTTGTCCTGTAAACAGGTCAAATTTCATCATGTGTTCAACAGAATGATGTGAAGAGAACATTCTGTTCTCATTTACCTTCAAAACAACAACAAAAGACGTTTTGTAAACAACGTGTAAACTTTCTAACTACCACTGAAGACTAGCATATTAATATGAATAGGCCTATACAAAATGCAAATATTTAAACTGACACACTTTAGGGTGACCTGACCCAAGAGAAACAGGGTTTTCCTGTTTTTTTTTAATGGACTGTCCTTGAAAATGTCACTCGTCCCACAAAGTGAGATAAAACGAAATTTGCTATAGCCTATACTACCTTTGCTTTTTTTTTTAAAAGAAAAGTTTCTCTCTCTCTCTCTCTCTCTCTCTCTATATATATATATATATATATATATCAGGATTTGGCACCTGCCCACACTGCCAAAAGCACCAAAAGTTGACTGGCCAGCAAACTCACCAGACCTGAACCCCATAGAGAATCTATGGGGTATTGTCAAGAGGAAAATGAGAAACAAGAGACCAAAAAATGCAGATGAGCTGAAGGCCACTGTCAACGAAACCTGGGCTTCCATACCACCTCAGTAGTGCCACAAACTGATCACCTCCATGCCACGCCGAATTGAGGCGGTAATTAAAGCAAAAGGAGCCCTTACCAAGTATTGAGTACATGTACAGTAAATTAACATACTTTCCAGAAGGCCAACAATTCACTAAAAATGTTTTTTTTATTGGTCTTATGAAGTATTCTAATTTATTGAGATGTGAATTGGTGGGTTTTTGTTAAATGTGAGCCAAAATCATCACAATTAAAAGAACCAAAGACTTAAACTACTTCAGTCTGTGTGCATTGAATTTATTTAATACACGAGTTTCACAATTGGAGTTGAATTACTGAAATAAAAGAACTTTTCCACGACATTCTAATTTATTGAGATGCACCTGTGTATATATATATATATTTATTTATTTATTTATTTATATGCAAGAATTGTCCCATTATTAATCCACAGTAATATTCATTTCAACAATAATTTCACTTTGGAAATCTGGTCACTTAAACATGAATGCAGCAGTTCTTTCCTCTCTTAAATTTTTTAGCTATTGATTTCGGTTTTCAGTTTCAAGACCGTTAAAGGAATAATGGTTCATATTTGTTGAGGGTTTCAGTTCATTATTTTACCGATCTCTTTGCTACGTTTCTGGACTTGAGAACATTTCAGTTGCGTTGCTGTCTATGCAGGGTCAGACAGCTCTCAGATTCCATCAAAAATATCTTAATTTGTGTTCTGAAGATGAACGAAGGTCTTACGAGTTTGAAACGACATGAGGGTGAGTAATTAATGACAGAATTTTCATTTTTGGGTGAAGTAAGTTAATTCTGAAGTAAGTTATTTTTAAAATGATTTGCAGTTTACGTAAATTAGGTGGTTTTGTTCCATAATTAGAATCCTAATTTAAAGCCAAACTGAAACATTTGTAATGTTTCTTCTTTGGCTGTGTCTCCAGGGGAAGTCAATGAGGCGGCTTATGCCTGCCACATGAGGGCAACACACGTGCAAACACATGCAGACATGCACAATAGAAGCAGGGTTAATTATGCAGCTGATGTGGCTTGTGTCATCCATCTAAAGGGGATTCTCTCTTGGGGTCTCACCGTGACTAAATCCTGCCACACGATCACAAGGACCACTGTGGAGCCTTGCTAATTTCACACTCTGGCAAGCATGCAGTTGGATGGTCTTTCTATAGAAAGTCTACATACAGCGGGTTCTGGCATGTATATTAGGTTTGCATTGGCTTAATGTATGTTTCGTTAACTCTCTCACATTAGATTTTTCTGTTTCTACAAGTTTAGAGTTGCTGTTATCTGAAGTTGCATTGCCTTATCAGGTTCAGTGCTATGGAAGGACCCCTGACAACAACAACATTTTTGGAACAAGCCCTCCTTGCCTTGTTACACAACATATATAATTTATCTTAAAGGTTAAGTGAGTCTTGTTGTTGCAAACCCTTATGACTTTCTTTTTTTGTAGAACACAAAAAAAAACGTTTTGAAGAATGTTCATGCTACTTTTTTTTTTTCTCTATACAGTTAAAGTGAAAAGCACTATAATAATGTTTCAACACCACTCATGCACTACATTTTACATCTTTCAAGCTATACTGATTGGTTTATGTGTGGAACAGACTAATATTTAAGGCGCTTCGCTGAAAATCTTGCTTTACAGCTTGTGATCACCATTCACTTTCATTGTATAAAAAAAGAGCATCTGGGACATTCTGCTAAATTTCTTTTTTTTGCTTTACTGATGAAAGGCAGTCAGATGAGTTCAGAATGACATGCGGTTCAGTAAATGATTTCTGGGTAAATTGTTACTTTAATGCATTAGCATGTGCTTTGTGTACAATCCGTGCGAAACCCACAATTTCCCCGATCATGGCCTTTTTTGTGTAAACTTTGTGAAAGTTTATTTTAGACAGGGCAAAGTCAGAGTGTAGGTACATTTGCCTGTTAATAGTTACTTTTAATATGTCAACAAACACTGAACTTAAGATAAATCTTTGACGAAAGCTTTGGTAGGGTGTGTGGAGCGCCACGTTTCAAGGAGGTCCTGTTTGACATGTCTCACTATTTACACACCTACGTAGAAAACAGGAACTTCCGTCACAACTTAAAGCCATACTTGGAATGCATTGAGTCATTAAATTGTCATTGTGTGGTATTAGTAGTTGTAAATGTTGGATAAAATGCTCGGCCCATCAGCTGGATTTGAATGTGATGCTTTGAAAACCAGTGACAACATTTGAATGTGTCAATAATGACATGTTTCAATGGCATGCATTGGATTTACTAGTGTTGCTATGCTGGTTTCGCATGTATCTTCAGTTCTAACTTACCTCAATGTTCAGACGAAGGGAATTTGAGAAGAGAACGACCACTGGCATTGGTGTTTGGCAGTGACCTGCTGTCTGGGATGCAGCCTGTTGCACAGCACAGCAATTTTAAGGCTGTTCTTCCCTCGGTTTTCCAGTCTCATCTTGCTCCAGCTGCACTATTTTATAATTATAATAGTCTCTTTACACCTTCCAGGCTTCTTTAGATGTTAGCGGGAATGATTGTGATGTATTGGAAAGCTCCCTATGGGCAACAGATTCCAGACGTTTTCAGAATCCGGCCTGTAATGGCGCTTTTTTTTGGAAATGTAACTCAAGCACAGCTGCTTTTGTGATTTTACTTGGAGAAAGGGTGGCACACAGGATTTATACCAGGGATTATAACTCCATCAGATTGAAGACTTCCTTGTTTTTTTGTATGCACACCATATTAAGGTCAGGGATGCTGGGATATTCCTGAATAAATGTCTGCATTTGTCATTAATCCTCACCTCCAGGCAGGTCCTAGTGCCTATCTCCATTGGAGGGAATGGGGTTATAGGGATAGAGGAGGTAATGTGTGGAACTGGGATTAGTGGAGGGATATAATCGGACTAAATTCTTCAAGTTATTTCCACATGAGGCACCTCGTGAGGCCAGGCCGCTCAGTGATTGGCTGCTGAGGACTTTGATGATTTTAGTGCCAGTGGACTAAATCTGTGAAGAGTAGAATTTGATCTTTGTTCTCTCACTACCTTATTCTGGACAGTGTTTGCCAAAGCATACTTCAGTTGTTATTGGGGATGTAGCGATATAAAAATCTCACGATAAGATAATACCTCGATATGAAGTCCACGGTACAATATTTATTGCGGTATTAAAAAAATGAAGACTTGGGGGAAAAAAATAAAATTTTGTACATTTTAAAGTTAAATTCTTCTATCTATTGCACTTTGAGAGTACAAAATTACGAGCTCCAACCCATGTTCTTAACTAAGAAAACCTTTTAGGGACTCAACCCTCTTTTTAGTTGTGATATACTGTCTCAGTCTGAATTACATTCACACTTGTGTTTTAGGAAGCCAAACAAATTAGAATATATAATAATAATAATAATAATAATAATACTTTTATATTTAGACAGTAATAGCCATATATTGTAAAACAATTGCACTGTAAAATAAATGAAAATGAATATTTCATTGTTATATTATTTTTGCTTTACACTACAGTAGGGAAATTACAATACTACTTTCCCATTTCCTACACTTGAAAGAGATATTTTGAATTTGGACTGCTGTAACGTTACCTAGTTAAACCACTAGCTTTAATTTTGACGGAAAACTCCAGTTTCAGTGAAAACAGGCTTACAAAAACGCATCTCACTACAAATCTAGTGAAATGCTGTAATCATATGCCCATTAAAATGTTGGGAATTACACAAATGTGAAAATAAAGCATAACTGGTGGCCGGTGCACTCCCAAACGGAGCCGTTCTGTGGCGCGGAAAACACCAGATCATGAGCTGATCGCCTGAACGAAATGCGCCCTTCACTTCAAAACACGCAGCGAAAAAAGACTTGATGAAGGGATTAAGCCATATTGTGCTTTTGGTTTTAGTTCGTTTGACAGATGCCAAAGCATAATGACCCAAAACACAACTTTTAAAGACATTTTATTTCAGAATAAGAAGTTTAAATGTACTTAAAAAAAAAAACTATCGCGATACCAAAATATTGATAATACTGTTACATCCCTAGTTTTAATGTGAATGCTTTGCATGTGTCCACAGCCAAACTTCCAAAGTGTACTCCATTTGATAGTGTGCGAGCACATGCGTTTGATGCAAACGCACTAGAAAGTTTCAACCTTGTCCACTGTGTCTACGTTATTTCTCTTCAGAAGTTAAAATAAAAATGTCTTTGTACTCGTTTAAACTGAACTTGTGAATATCTTTAACCCACTAACACTGTTTCTAAGTCTGTTTCTTTTTTGACTGTGAAACATGTGGACAGACTTCTTAGTAATAACTTCTGAAGTTAACTATTTGGGTTTTGTTCAGTGTAATGGACTAATTCGTTAGTCGAAGTCTGATTTGAGAGTTTTAAGCCCCGTTCACACTAGCAACGACTTTTGTCGCGGCATGTCGCCAGGGGCTGGCGATGAGGTTGCTAGTGGGCGTTCTCAATACTGGTTGCCTTGACAGCGAATCAGGTTTCTTGCCGCTAAGTACAAACATTTTGCAGGCAAAAGACTAAATATAATCTAAATCTAAATTCCGTACATACAAACAAAAATGAATGAGAAACAGAGCCTACTTTCTTCCATTGCGTATATTTATCTATGGTGCTGAGAGGAGAACGATCACATGAGCTCTACCTTCTTGTTTCCTATTGGCTGTCGCTCTCGAAAGTCGCTCTTCATTTGCATAAAGTTGAAGGATTCTGAACTTTGTCGCGTCGCTGGACACGCCCCATCCGGTCGCCCACGGCTGCTGTCGCTCGTGTCGCCGGAAATCGCCAGCTCTCCATTGAAATGAATGGGATTGTGTCGCTTTGCTGTTGCGTGTCGCTTGTAGTGTGAACGGGGCTTAA